TTTTATTGATTTGTAAAAGGTGTGGATAGCCTTTAAATCCTCATTGTAAGGTTGAAGATAGCCTTAAAATCTTCGGTTGTAAACGGTTGAGATAGCCGTAGTAAAATCTCGTTTGCTTATTGGCAAGGGTTGTTTGCCAAACCTCGTTTGAGTCTTCTTAGTGAAGCCAAACAAGTTAGTGGAGGTTAAATCCTTGAGGAGGAGCCTCGAGGTACTGGAGTAGGGAGTTCCCGAACTAGTATAAAATCGCTTGTGTCGTATTTTTATATTTTATACTTTTCTTGCTCTTTTTCCGCTACTACTTTGCGCATAAGTTTTTGTTTTTATTAAAAATTTGCAAACACCCTAATTCACCCCCCTCTTAGGGTGTAAACCGACTTTCAAAAACTTTTCATCTCTTCTTTCTTTATTGATGAGCTTTTAGACAAGCTAGCGTTTGCTAAAGCTTTTCCGGGTCCTAGGGCTAGTTGTGACGAGTTTGTAAATCCCGGAAGATTAGACTTAGAGTTGCATTTGTAATATTACTTTACGTAATTTCAGTTGAATTTATGTGGGAATAATATTGTCCATGAACATTATGAGTTAACCATAAATATTATTCTAAGCTGTATGGCCAGTGCAAGTCAGAAAAATATCTATTTTCAACATCAGAATGCATCATGTAAATATTAAACATTTTCTCAAGATGGGTCAAATCAAATATTTCTTTATACAATGGTTTCAACACACGTAGGTTCAAGAAAATACGAATATTCTTGAGATACAAATCGAAAGATAATTTCTTGCTTACATAAGGTTTCTACATTTATTCAATATATCCTCGAGCCCTTGCAACACTTTAGTATCTTCATAGAGTATCATCCTTGGGTTGGATTCTTTGAATTGTTTCGTGTTTTAGAACATTGACTTGTTCCTAAGCGAAAAGGTTGATCTTGGACAGAAGTAACTGAATATGATTCAGGTTTAGAGGGACATTCTCGTCGGAAATGTCCAGGTTCACCACAAATTAGACATAATCCTTGTGCAAGCCAGCAATCTCCAGAATGGTGTCTTTTACAAATATCACACTTTGGATGTTTCCATACTCTCATTTTGTTTATGGATGACGTCGATTGAATTGTCATTGATTTTCCCTTTTTTGAATGTAGGGCACTATCGATTTCCTGCGGGGGTCTCTTCCCACTAGTATTTGGTCGTACATTTGAATTGGTAATCTCAATCTTCAGACTTTCATAGTAATCACTTAGATCTTTTTCGGCTTTGGAATTTAGGTCGTATGCCTCAATGAAATCTATAGTTTGAATAGTAGATACGTGCGCCCTGAGATCAGGCCGAAGTCTTTTACGAAACTCCTCAATGCGGTCAGCTGCTGTGCTCACCAGTGTGGGTGCAAATAGAGCGAGGTGGACAAATTTTTGTCGGTATTTAGGAACTGACATATCTCCTTGCTTCAATTGAATAAATTCAGCACGCTTCTCTTCACGGAATCGGGCTGGGATATATTCCTTCTTGAACGCCCAATCAAAGAAATCCCAAGTCCAAGGTTTGGGTGTGTTTGGATTTTCGTCAGTACGTTTCCACCATTCGAAGGCTTCCTTGCGGAGCAATTGAGATGCAAATTTTGGATGATCCACAAGAGGTATGTTCAAATTTTGTAGTACACGAGCGGTCTGCTCGATCCATTCAAGAGCAATTTGGGGTTCGGCAATTCGATCTCCCAGAAACTCCTCAGCACCATTATCTTTCAAGGTTTTGAAAGTGATCAAACGAGGTGGTGGTGGAGGTGGTTGAAACATAGGGGCATTGGTCATTTGTTGCAAGAAGTTTACCATTAAGGTAGGTAGCATAGCGTCAGGTTGACCTCCAATATTTTGATCATTTTGGGGAACATGTAGTGAAATCACTTGTTCACTTTGAATAGGAGGTGTAAAACTGGATACTTCAGTATGAACATGTTAGAATAAGTGCCCTTCACTAGAGGGGGGTGAATAGTGAGGCACGAGAATGTTTATAAATTTTCGCGAAATAAAAATCGTAGGGATAAAGTAAAGAGCGGAATAAAAAGCGTAAGGAGAGAACACACCGATTTTACCCTGGTTCACCACAACGTGTGGCTAGTCCAGCCTCCCGAGAGACTCTCTCGAGCTACACTATCAACGTTAAGCTTACAGGTGCTTAACAAACCGTTACAACCTGAGAACTCGAGTCCCACGAGCCTCAATACACTTGCTCGGAGATACCGCACTCCAAGACTTGAACCCGAAGGAATATGCCCTTCCTTCGTACAACCAAGGGAACAAACCTCCCTTAAAGTGTTCACAACACTTAACCACTCAAGAACAAAAACTCTCTTAAAGAGTAGAATATGAGCAAACTAATTTAGATCAAGAACACACTCAATTCCTCAAGAAATGGCTCTAAAAAGCTATGTAAAAAGTTTATGGAATGATGCAATGTAAAGCTATGAAATGTGTGAGGAATGGTTGTGAAAAG